AGTGGAGGATGAACTATGACCTAAAAAGTTTTATTTGCGCAAGAAAGCCGATAGTCTTCTGAATGTCATATGTTCTCATTAGTTATTTTTGATAACCTTATGTGTAGGGTCCTAATAGCATGTCATTTTCTCTGCCAAAGTGGAGTTAATCATGATGCACCAGGATTCCCTATAAGATGTAGCTTATCAGGTTTTAAAGCTACTTTGATTATTTATTGCCTATAGTTTTATACTTGGGATACTAATAGCATGTCCTTTTCTCTGCCCAAATGGGGGTTAATGGTGATGCACTGAGAATCCCTATGAAAAATAGCTTATAAAGTTTCTAAAGCTATTTTAATTATTTGTTGCTTGTAATATTGAACTGTTGCATCTTTTTTTTTTTTTTTTTTAAGTGGTGGAATCAAGATATTAGTCAGCCCTGAGAATGTTCCATAATCATGTTATTGATAAGGACATTTCATAATTTTCATGTTTTATAATTATTTATTATTGTTGTTTTATATATGCATGAATAGTTGTACATTTGTGGGAATATGATTAAAGTGAATTTATGTGCATGTTGTTAAGTACATGAATTTCATGTTTGAAGGATTTATGGGTGAGATAAATGATAATTGCCAAAGCAATCCATTTATTGATACTCATAAATTTCTTTGTCATTAATTTGGGAAGGTTGATTCCTTATACAGTAATCTACCCAAAAGGGTTTTTTTATGTATTTTATAGTGAAACCATGGATAAATCAATGGTAGCCAAGGTAATTTTTCGTCCCAAAGGAGTTTAATTATCCAAAAGTTGGGCGTTATTGTTAATTGTTTTATTTATTAGATTTAGTTGTTTGTTGCATTCCACACATAAGGTAAGTGTGCAATATTTTAACTTAAGAGAACAATACCCATGGTGATATATTATTAATATAGTATTGATATTCCTTTTGAGTTATTTCTTGTTCATCTTACCATATGACTCTCCCCATGCAATTGATTAGTTAAAGATAATCTTTAACACTTAAATAGACAAATGAGATTTAATAATTGATCTTTATATTTGTCTTCAAGGGGAAGAGAATTTGTTCTTGACAAAAGTGCGAATGTCCTTATTAGCTTTGCCTTATTTAGATTTCTTAAAGACTCAATCTGCTTGTAATGAGAATCAAGGTAATATGTTGAAATTGAGATCCCTGGATAAAAAGGTGTACATTTTTGTATGAAGGAAGGATACAAGAAAATTATTTTTCTATTTTTATTATTTTCTGTAGTGCTTAATTTGTTTAACTCCTTTGATGCACTACATATAGTTGAATTCTTTCGCTTGGCTACCTCTGAAATTTGTTCAAGAAAATGTGAATTTTTAAGATGAAGATTTTCTTCATGCTTGTTTTAGCAATTTTGAAAATTGAAACCATGTTTTAATGATGTTAAAATTTGTCGCATATAAAAGTTTTCTTTTTCTGATAAATAAAACTTTAGTTTATTCTTGACAATCCCTTTATCTCCTTTAAAGGGAGGGTTTTTGCTATATATATTTTTTTATATTATGATTCATATAAGAGTCTTGAAAAGTTTCAAAGTATTTGTTTAAAGCTTTAATTGAAGGTTTTAAAGGTTATAAAGAAATTTTGAGGTAATAAGTATTGTGACGAACACAGAACTATTATTCATATATAGTTGTTATGTCTCGTACACCTAAGCAGATTGAGATGGCTAAGAGACAAAATCACACTAGTAAAGGTATGGTGAAATATTTATGACTAGAAAAATTTGTCTATGTTATTTTGAAAACTGTATTTTCTCACATTGGCTAGAAACTTCTAGTTAGCAGATACCAGTTTTTCTTTTAATCCTTGAGTTGTTTGGAAACTCAAGTTTAGTACATTAGCTTTCTTGAAAATACTAAGCTTTATAGGTTTATTTCCTTGTATCATGGCATAAAGATTATTAAAGCTATTAAAGGTTGATAAGGTTGATATAGTTAAATATCTCATATGGAAGCTTTTAATGACGGTTTTCAATTCTCATTAATATTATTGTTATTAGAAGTTAAGAGGAATAATATTGATTCTATGAAATCTAATTGTTTGTGATAGCTTGCGTTTTCCCTCAATAAAGTTGTACTCATTTGTTATAGATGAGTGTTTAAAGCTAAAGGGATTAAAAAGCATATTAAAATGCTTTAAGGCTAACTTGTTAGCTATGAGCTCCACATAAGAGTAAATATGTTTCATAGAAATGTCATTTCTCTTATGTTTTCTAATGCCCTTTTGTAAAGATTTTGTATCACGAATTTTTTGACCTTAAACTCCATATTTATGCTTATATATATTTTAAGGTCAGTGGGAGGTTTTCTAAATATAGATCATTGAGTGGTATTAAAGGAATTTTTTTTTAGACTATTTGTTTTTTGTGCTCACATTTGGTATTTCTAATCTCTTGAGAGGTAATTAGAAATGGTGAGCTAGCTAAATTAAATGTCTTATTATTATTTTTTAAATAAGTTTTAGTATATGTCTTAAATGGCTTATGGGGGTTGTCTCGCATAAATACTTGAAGTATTACATATATTTTATGTCCTCATTAGTATGGTCAAGAACTATGATTACAGTTGAATGCATGCTACGGTGGCTATTATGGTCGATTCATTAACAAAAATGCTAAACTTGTTAATTTCTATATACATGTGATAATATGCGTTTTGAGTTTTTGATGCACTTGGTTGTGGGAGTTTTCTTCAACCTACTACATGATATAATTTGTATTTGTAATAAACTTGATATCATATCTGTGTTTGTGGATCCATGAAATTATGAAAAATGATATGATATTGTTATTATATAATGTCACATGCATGCGAAAGATATTTTACGTTGTGACAGGCTGGATTAAAGTTTGTTGACCTCATTGTTTATATGAGTTATTTGCTTGTTTTCCTGTATGGAAGTATTTTGTTGTCACTAATGCATATGGTTTTGTTTTCATGATAAGTTATTGTGATAGTTTAATATCAACATTTAAGGATTGATGCAGAGTACATCAGTACTGATTTTATATTGGCTGATTCCTTAACTAGATGACCCAGACATGTGGTTTTAAACGTCATGTATAGAACATGGGCGTCTTAGGGTCTTTTGATATTTTGGATTAGTGGGAGTTTGACATATTTTTTGTTGACTTATGCCATTTTATTTTGATCATGATCATTAGTTCTTATTTATTTGCATACATATACATATGCGCATATGGATGATGAAATACAACATTGTGTTTCAAGAATAAGGTTTCTCTTGAGAATGACAATTGTATATGCTTGGTGAAATATAACATTGTATCTCAAGAATAAGGTTTCTCTTGAGAATGACAGTTGTATAAGTATGTTTCATATTTGTATCTCAAGATAATTTGTTGAAACATACTAGCTTCATTGGAAGCTATGAAGCTTCATTGGAAGCTAAGTAGCTTCTGTGTTGCTTCATTGGAAGTTGTGAAGCTTCATTGGAAGATGTGAAGCTTCATCCAAAGCTGTGTAGTTTCGTTGGAAGCTATGAGACGTCTCTTGCTTTTCTTTAAAAGCATAAAGATTAAAGAGAGATTTTAATCAGGAGTGACAGGGTAACAACACATGTTTTGATCACTTGTTGGGGTGTTATCCTTGCCACACTGCTAGATTTCTAATCCATGCAATTTGGTTATTAGTAATTGTAATCTGGGATTGATCTTATGTCGATGTAAGATGTAAAGATTGTCTTGGTTCATTATTGATAATCATATTGATTGGATTGTTGGTTGAAGTGTTATCTTTGGACTATGTTGTTTTCTTAAAATAGAGGCCACTTTAAAGTTAAAAAAGTTATGTTTATCCGGGAGTCAAAATTGTTTTCTTTTCTTAAAATTAAAATAAAATAATTAATGTTGCCCAAGTGGGAGAATGTTAGGAAAATTTCCTAATTGTGGCCTTACATTAATTATATGTTAGTTTTGATTAAAACCAGGTAAATTAATAGTCCACTGATATACTAATGAGTTTAATGTGATCATATTAAAGTTTAGCACATTACACTTCATTTGATTAATATGAATTAACAACAAAGTGTAGGCCTTAGGGTTTATTAGGCTTTTAATAAGAGTGTCCAATAAACTATTATTAAATTGGCTAAGTCCTCTTTCCAAATGCTATAAGATAACTGAAACCCATTTTGGAAGTTATCATTCAGTTTTGCGTTATTAGAAATGAAGACTTGTGTACGCTCTCTGCCTTTTGGGAAAAACTTACGTTCATTTTCTAAGAAATTCAAGAATCAAGAGTTATGGCACAAACATGTTTGTGTATAACCCTTTACTATTAATTCAGTATTTTATAAACTAACATGTGAGTTATTAAGATCTGAATGCAGTGATATTATACTGGTTTTTTGTAACTCATTATTTGACATTTCATGCATTGATTTGTATTCACATTTGATGAATAATTCTTACAATAATAACTTTCATTACATTAAATCCACAACATTTTTATTAATGCAATTTCCATGCATGAATAAAAGAAAAAAAAATATATGAATTGGTTTTGCCCCTTAAAAGATCCCATCGACCATTAAGACATTTCCAAGATTAAGAAAAAAAAATTGACTAAAGCTTGAATGTAGAATCACCCTGACTTTTTGAAGGTTTTTGATGTAGTTAATTTGTTAGAATGATAAATGAAGGGTTTATCACATCATTAATTTTTAATTTGTCTTATTTAGCAAATTCTGTAATAAAGAAAATTGTAATTAAAAGAATGATAATAAGGTTTCGATATATAATATAACAAGAGGGACTAATGGCAACCTTCTTTGTTTTAATTTCCAAATTCTAGGCAATAATACCAATCAATAGTCTCACCTCCCTCTTGAACACATAATTTCATTTCTAAGTTATTTTTTTGAAATTTATAAAAACATCTGATATCATATCCATCAACTACAAAATAATCATGGTGCAAGTGTTTATGTATCTAAAATCTAATAAAATTCGGTCAACCGACCTCTTTATTACTAACAATATTCAAATTGTGCAATCACAACTACAGAAACATAATGTTTTGCAAAACAATAATAAATAGAAAAAGTCTCATTGCAGAGTATGATCATTAATGGAAAATCTTGAAAGTAAAGAAGCCAACTAAAGTGGATAAAAGTGGATCCACCTTTCAAACATCTCATAACTTTCTCTACCTTTCCACTCAGTAGGAGAGTGACCTGATCCCTGTATAAAATTTACTCATAATATTAGCTTCAATAATTTACAAAAAACTCTTTCTCACAAATTGAAGAAACTAAAGATAGTTCTTAGTTCTTACTTTTGAAGTGGCATAAGTAAGTCGATATCCATAATTTGAATACTTCATTGTGTACCTAAATTGAAGATGCATTGGCATATATAATTATGGAATGTAATGTCATATTGCATCAAATTAAAGAAAGTTGAAAAGATTAGATTTTAAGGAGTCTGCAAACTTATAAACTTACCCTGCAACTTGACCACCAACATACCACGGTCGCCAATCTTCATCCAAAGTTATATCGAGTTCAGTTAACCAATATTCGGTTCATATATGTGGAACAACCAGATCATGATCACCACTGCACAAAATTACAATTATATTATTATGCAGGAATTCTGGGCAAAAGAAGAAGCTATATATAAGATAAATATATTATCTTGATGAATCTGTAAAGCTCCAATAAGGTTACCCATAAAGTAAAACTTGGATGCCTGTTTTTGTAAGATTTTTGTGATAGTCAAAATTGCTCCCAATATCAACATCATAGTTAGTCTTCAAGGTAAGGTTGCACCTACGCCACTCTTTGACTCCCACTATTCTTGAATATATGTTAATACCTCTCGGACATGCAGAGCACTTTGAACACCTTTATCGTTTGCCCATATAGTAGAGAGTAGATAAGCAAAATCCTGCAAATTAACATATATAAATTAACAATTACATCAACAAGAAGCGCTAAATCTTGATGATAAAGATTACCTTGCACCAATAGTCATTTGCTCCAGGTGGAAGGCGATAATGTTTTGAAATTTCATTTAAAAATCTTCTCTTCCTTCTATCGTTATCTGATTTTGGTTTTATTGTAGCACACTTGGGAGCCAACACCATTTCTCCATTTATTTGTTCCGTTAACTATAATATTCAAATTAACGCTTTCTTAATACAGTATATAACATTTTACATCACAGGGAAGGAGTTGAGTTTAAGAAAGAAGAAAATTTGATCACACATCAATCATACATTATCTATTATTTCCAAATACTGTTCGCAATCCGCACTGATGGTAGTGGAATCCCAATCAACGTAAGAGCCGTTGCAGTAGTCTTTGGCTGACTGTGAAAAGCAATTAATTACACATTGAATTTTATGTTTAATTAGAATTAGTGATCGAAATATAAAGTGTAATTGATATTATTGACCTAATAACAAAAAAAAAATGTTGATTTAGTTATTGAAATGCAATGACTCACTTCGTAAATAGCTTTAGATATAAGTCCCAGCTGATGAGCCTGTGGCATTTCATCATTGACTTCAAGTTCAAGATCTGAATGTGGTGATCCACTTATGTATCCCTGATTAATTAATTCACAGAAAATAATTAGAAATTACCGTTAATTTAAAATTCATAATTGGCACAATGAACCAAAAGGGCTGAATTAGTATAAGTTTATATATTCTTACTAGTATACTTATTGATGGCTCAACTCCGGCTTTATTATCTGCAATGCCATGTATATATATATAATTGACACATTAGATAAACTGATAGCAAAAATATACACCCCCTATAATTGATGAAAAAAAATGGCTTCAATAATTACCTTCCAATATTTTTTGAACGACAATTGGAGCAACAATACCAGAGTAAGAATCAGTAGCAAGGACAACTCGGTTTGGGATGTATTGAGGATGCTCATTCAACCACTGCTTCCAATTAAAAATTAAAATAAAAAAATGCACAATATAATTAAGATCTATGAGAGCTTGTGCCAACATAAAATTCTGTCAAGTTAAGCATAATTTTATATTAATCTTTCACTCACGGTTCTCATAAAATTGTAAGTTTGATTTGCAAACTTAGAGTCTGAGAGGACGAAACCTGCAGCGGTTGATGCATAGGAATAACCAGAGCCAACAGGTGAATCTACAAAAACTATGCTGGCAGTCTGCAAAATTAATAAAATTTATCACCATTATACAATCATAAAACATGATTTTTTTTAATCAAATTAATGCCATATATAGCTTAAAATTTTGGTACCTTTGTCCATGTGTAGGGATACAAATGTAATGATGGCAAGCCACCAGTATAGTCAGTTTGATTAAACTGTAGTGGACCTATATAAAAAAATATATGTCGTAATCATTAAAGTTAGGGCAAATCTGTAATTTGAATGTAAGCATTTATTAATATATTCCCATAGCACTATCCAACAAAACGACGTCGTGACATAATGATAATGATAAAAATAGTACGCTCTCATAATCCTAAATCACACTCTATCTAAGTCACCTAGCCAAATTTGACCAATCCAACAAAACGACGTCGTGACATAATGATAATGATAAAAATAGTACGCTCTCATAATCCTAAATCACACTCTATCTTAAGATGCATTTGTTTTAGTATTTTGAATATAATTTTTAATATTTTTAGAGTTGGGTAAGAATAACGAGGTAGGATTTAAAAATTAAAAAACACCCCCTAAGTTTGTTAAATAACTAAACACCCTTGTAATAAAAATATTAAAAATTACAAAAACACTCACACTCACCCATTAAATTTCTGCCACCACCATCGGAGGGTGGCCGGAGTCACTATATTGGCGCACAATTGGCTGGATTTGTACAGTGGTGCACCGAGATAGCCTTTTCGACCAAATCTACTATGGATCTGGTCGAAAAATGATATATCGGTGCACTACCGATCAGATCCAGTCGGTAGTGCGTCATTGTATCAAATTCCGGCCATTTCCGACGATGTGGCTAAAATCTGGCAAATGTGGGTGGATGGGAGTGTTTTTGTAAGTTTCTAAATTTTTTTTTAAGGGTGTTTAGTTAAATTAATAAACTTAAAGGGTTTAAAATATAGTTAAAGAAAATATAATAATATTTTCATAACAAAGAAATAAACTGATATTTTAGAAATAGTATGAATAGGATAATGAGAAATATTAAACCAAACAGACCCTTTGTCATCTAGCCAAATTTGACCATACTTACCTAACATATTTAATTAAGGAAATAGTAATTTATTAATATATTCGAATAAGATTTATTTCCTACACCCCTTTACAAGATTGTTTAGCTAACATTATCACACTTAAACTTTTCAAAATTATAAAAAGAAAAAAGAAAAAGAAAAAAAAAAAGACCCTTATAATTATTGAATACTCCCCTTAAATTATTTTTAAAAAAAAAATCCTCTTATCACAATAGGGTTTCAATAATTATAACTTAGAAGGGGATTTTCGATAGTTTTTGAAAACTTTTGAGTGTGCTTCAAGGGGTTGTAAAAATAAACCCATCCCCATGTTGGAATGTATAAGAGAGGAGGATAAATGAGATACCAGTTTGGAAGAAAAAACCATTTAAGGCGGAACAACCAGGGCCTCCAACTACATAAAAAAGAACAGGATCTACTTCAGGATTTCCTTGCGACTCCACAAACAAGTAGAAGAGCTCTGAATCCCCCACGCTCACATATCTGAGTTTTCAAAAATCCTCTTAAAAAATAACTTACTTCACTTTACACAAATGTAAAAAAGTGACCAAATTAAATTTCACTACTTACCCTGTTTCAAGTTTGAAAGGAAGAGTACCGGTATATCCCGGCAATGTCCGCACAATTTGCCCACAGTCTGCATTTCTCAGAAAAAGAAAAACAAACAACAAAACCAAACTTGAGAATTTGGTATGATTTGAAGGCATGATATTCATACAACGAGGAGCTAATCTTATGTCAAAGTGAAATGATGAAGTCTACGTTGGTAAAGTGAGTGTATATTTATACATATACGAAAATTTCCTTTTCATTGTGCGTGTGTGAGTCGGAAATTAGAAGATGAATTTCCTAACTTTCATTCTTATTAAAATCTGGTAAGGAATATTGGATAACTGTAAGTCAACTCAACGTAGCGGTCGATTGTGTGGACGTAAATGGTTTGAATAAACTTAACCAGCAGTTTTAAAAACGCACAAGAAAAATGAGGATTTCTATATCACAATAATTAAATAAGGATTTCAGAAGACCTTGCAGCTTCAGACATTCCTGAGAAGACACATAATGTAAAATTTCTGGACCACGGGAGCGGACATTTTTTAAACAGTTACCCAAGGTTTGGCGAAGATTAGATACTTGAAATAGACGGTATTATTATTATTCTACATCCACGTGCCAGTACTGGCCAATCAATGGTCATTGACTGGTTGTCATACATTTTTACTAATTGAAAGCTATATATATTTTTTAATTTCAATAAATATTTTTCTCAAAGAGTTAAATATTTATGTTTCATTAAAAGAATGGGAAAGATTGTAGGCGTACTGTTATATGAAAACTATCTATACAAATTCTGAGGGCCAAAAATGGTCTTGGGTTTGACGAGACCCAATAACGAAATAAACATGTCCTGATCTAAGGTCTCAACCCAATCCCGATTAGACCTACGCTTAAAATCACTTTGTGAACCATCCACTCTATGAGTTGGGCTATCTTATAAGTTAAGCTAAATTGGGTTTCAGTACATTAGCCTGCAACAGTCTATAAATAGGAAATCAAAATCTCATCTTATTTCCTCTTCTACTAAGATTCCAAATCTTACTCAAACTATCAAACTTGATCTGATAAGGTCAAGAAATCATATCTCTTTCATGGTAGAGATTATCTCCCAAAATAGGACTTGATGTCCTATTAAGATTCCAAATCTTATTTAAACTATTAAACTTAATCTGATAAGGTCAAAAAATTATATCTCTTTTATGATAGAGATTATCTCCCAAAATAGGACTTAGTGTCTTACTAACTAAGATTCCAACCCCTTGGGTTCATTATAAAAACAGAGGTTTGCCCTCTCATTAGGCATGCAATCTCCCATAGTCAATCTACACTATTCAAAACCATATATTTGCTCCTAAAGTTTTTGCTCCCAAAAACCTGACTCCTCCGCCGTAGTCTTAGCTTCCGACAAGACTCCTGGTAATTCTTTATCTCCTTAATTCTTATCAAATAATCTCTTTCAGCCTCGCTGGTTTGAGCGTCGGAGTGCCTACGGCAAACACCACCTCGGTGTTTTCTAGAAGCTTCACGTTTGCCCTTTCATGTGTGCAAGTCCAGCGGATTGTCAATGGCCTCAACCTCACGGGATCAGACCCTATTTTCATGACGGTAGATTTTTTGCATCTACACAAATTTATATAATGCAAAAACATTAAATCAATAAAAATGAAAAAAGATATAAAAATAGACCACATAATATCTATATAAATTATGTGATCGGTTGGTACGAAAGAATTTGAAAATATTATTTGTAGATGTACTATTATTATTTTTAGTTTATAACCATTTTGGATGGAAATTAAGAATTGAGTGATAATCTAGAAAAAAAAATTTTTTTAATTAACTATAAAATAGAAGAATTAGTGTTACTCATATCTTATTAATGATTTATTTGAATTAAAACAAATCTCACTTGCATATTAATTTCTTATCTAAGAATATTAAAATCTTGTTGATATGGATTCAAATGTATTTAGTAATTAAATTTCAAATAAAGAGTAGTAAAATGTTGAAATAATTGACACAGAAATTTGATTTGGTGTTTTGACTATATTTATATTTGTCACGTGTATCATAAAAAATAGTTAGCTGCATGGGTAGCGGATGTATGTACAGCTTAGCTTATTCAACAACTTTGACCAAACCGGACATTCTCATGCACGTAGTAATGAAGAAAAAAAAGTGCAAAAAATGAGCATTCAAACTAGGGGTGAGGGGTAGCGGATAGAACTAGAATCATAACTGAAACCTACTCAAAATTGATACTGTACATGTAAGTTTTGGTTTCATTTTTTTTTAGAACTGAAACCTAGAAAAAAGAACTTACAACAGATACCCAATTTGGAACCTATAGCGGGTATCCTGTTTTGGAACGTGGGCTGAAATTAAATATCTATGAAGAATTGAGGGTTTAGTAATTTTACATATAAAAAATTTAAATAATTAAATAAATATACAATTATACTTATTACATATAAACTACACTATAGAAAAAACTTTAATACATATTATAATATATTAATATTAAAGTTTTGATTAATTAAGTGTATAATTGAAATTAAGGCCAATTAAAAGTGTTTTAATGTTATTAAAAGAATTATTTTTGAATAAAATGATATATTTGATTGAATAATAATATAATATTTAGTTATTTATTTCAATTATCAAGTTCTAAGTATATCTGTAGTAAATTAGTAATTAATTAATTATATATGATAAATTAATAAACATTAATACATTACTAGTTAAATAATTACTTAATCAATTATAACATTACATTATAGTTAAATGATTATTTAATTAATTATAAATTTATAACATTACATTATAGATTTATAGTATAATTACTTAATTAATTATAATATTACATTATAAACAAGTGATTACTTAATTAATTATAACATTCCATTATAAACTTTAGTACAATACTTAATTAAATGATTAAAAATTTAATTAATTATAATGTTACATTAAATATTTATATAGTATAATCACTTTGTCCATTATAACATTACATTATAAATTTATAATATGATTACTTAATTAATTGTAACATTACTTTATAAACAAGTGATTACTTAATTAATTATAACATTCCATTATAAACATTAGTATAATACTTAATTAAATGATTAGAAATTCAATTAATTATAATATTACATTAAAGATTTATAATATAATTACTTAATTAATTATAATATTACATTATAGTATGATCACATAATTAATTGTAACATTATATAATTAAATTATTACTTAATTAATTATGACATTATATTTTAGACATTAGTAATTTACTACATTAGCACAATACCTAATTAAATTATTAGAAATTTAATTAATTATAACATTATATTATAAATTTATTAAATGATTGCTTAATTAATTATAATATTATGTTATAAACAAATGATTACTTAATTAAATAATTATATAATTAATTATAACATTTTATTATAAATATTAATATTATACTTAATTTAATGATTATAAATTTAATTAATTAAAATATTATATTATAATTAAATAATTATTTAATTAATAATATTATTATATTATATTATAATCTCTTAATTAATTATATAGTTAAATGATTAGGAGACAATTCAAACATTGAGTGGACTTACAGTACTTACCCAATATTCTTTTCCCCATTCCAAACTAGACCGTATGTTGGGAGCTTCATTTCAAATTTTCTACTCAACCTAACTTTCCTACATTTGTCTCGTCTCCCACGTTACTTTTTAAATCAGTTTACACTAATTTGATTGGCTCGAGCAAACAGTAATTGCTTGTCACAATTATCATGTCTTCAAATTTTAGCCAATGGTGGAGCTTGAAACGTTTGGTTTGTTCCTTTGTTTTTCTTTTTATAAATGCAGATTGTGGCCAAATCGTCCGGACGCTACCAGGATTTTCCGGTACTCTTCCGTTCAGTCTTGAAACTGGGTGAGTGCCATTATTGTTGCTATACTTCTCTTCTACTGACGACGGAATGACATTTTATTAGTGAAGTACTAAACTAACTGCTATGGGCATGACTACTCAGATATATTAGCGTGGGGAGCTCAGAGCTTTTCTACTTGTTCGTGAGAAACGTGCAAGGAAATCCTGAAGTGGATCCTCTTCTTTATTATATAGTTGGAGGCCCTGGTTGTGCTGCTTTGAATGGTTTCCTCTTTCAAACTGGTATCTTTCTCATTTTAACCGTCTCTTTGAGATTTCACATAGACACCTTTGATGTTAGTGAAAGAAAAAGAGATCCACAGGTTTAGGAATGGAATACTTACCCCTTTATAATTGGCGGATGTATGCAAAATATTAATTCTAACACATAATCTAGGTTACAATGATGAATATGTCCTTATATATATATATATAATATCTATATATATATATCCTACAATAAAAAAGAAATAAGGATTATATTAATATTTCTCAAATTATTAAAATATTAAATATATTAGGTGGTTAAGAAACGTTAAACTTTGACATTTTGATAAGACATTTAGGTGGCGTTTAGTTGGAAAAATGTTAGATTACTGGGAATGTTGGATAACTGAAAAGATAGATTACCTTGAAGATTACTGGGAATCTTTAGAAAAATGTGTTTGGTTAGTTAGTGGGTATGTTATATTAATATGTTTGGTTACAGATAATGAATTGGTGGGTATGTTATTTAAATTACTAAATTATCCCCTTTTTAAATATTAATATAATATAATTTTTATTATTAATTTTTAAATAATTTCCTTTAACCCCCAATATTTCAGATTTAGCTAAAACACCCTCACTTATATAAAACTTTAATTTATGATGAAATCACCCCCACCTCCTGCCGCTGCCTGCCGCCACTGCAAACCACAGCCGAAAGTCTCCGAAAGTCCTCGTGAGTAGCTCACCGTGATCAAGAGACTCTGATATGGTTGTTTCTGGCCATATTGATGCCCGAAAACGGCCATATCAGGCTAGATCTGGTCGGAAATGGCCAGATCTATTCTGGTCGGAAAGCCGGAAATGGCCATATCGAAGCCTCCCGGAACCTCCCACCGAATCTCATTCTTTTTTAGGGACTCCGGCGGCGGTCCATGGTGGTTGGCTTGGTGTTGGCGGTGGTGGCTGGGTGGCAGTGGTGGTAGTGGCTTGGTTGCAGTGGTGGTCTGTAAATTGTTTTAAATATAAGGGTATTATTGTCCAAAGATTTAATTAAACAAGGGTAAAATTGAGATAGGATATTAATGTAAATTTATTTTAAAATAAGGGCATTATTGTCCAAAACTTTTATTAATAAGGGATAAAATTGTAACAAAAAAAGATAACCCTGGTAATCTTAGAATACCTAAGAAAATGGAGGTAATCAGATTACCTCAAATATTACCAATAATAACCACTATTGGTATTCAAAGATTACCGGCATCTTATATTACTTGACAACTAAACATGGTAATCAAGTAATATAAGATAACTTAACCCCCAGTAATCTTACATAACCCCAACCAAATAACTTGTATCTATTATTATGTTGACTATTTTACCCTTATGACCGTTAATTTTCACAAACAGTTTGTCAATTATAAGGATACAAGTGTTACATTCCAAAACCTCTCCTCTTCCTGTTAATTGTTTAATCTTATAAATTAATGCAATGTTACTCATGTCAAAATATATTTTTAGGTCCACTACAGTTTGATGAAACTGATTACACTGGAGGTTTGCCAACGTTGCATTTATACCCACACACATGGACCAAGGTGCAAAATCTATAACTTGATAAGTGTAGTATAATGTGAGGGATTGATATTAATTAAATCTGTATGATAATGATAAAATTGTAGAGTGCGAGTATAATATTTGTAGATGCACCAATTGGCTCTGGTTACTCCTATTCAACAAACCCAGCAGATTACGAGATCTCAGACTTACAGTCAGCAAATCAATCTTATATTTTACTTGAGTCCTTCAGTTCTTTAGCTTTTTAGTTTCATCCTTATTTGTGTTTTTTGTGAAACTTAGAGAATAGAAAATGTTGTTTGAAAGAACATCATATAAAATGTTGGTATTTCCTTAAAAGAGATCTGTTTTTTGTGGAGATGTTAACTCGATAAATGATTGCTTTGACAATAGCTAGGTGACTCAATAAATGGAGATCTTAACTCAACAAATGGCCGCTCAAAAGTATAGACAATGTTCTCAATTGCCTTCTAATCAATGACAAGAAAACGAAGATGAAGAGGAGTTTGAAAATATTGTTGATGATGAAATTGAGTTTAGTGGTGATGATCACTTCAATGATTATTTTGATGATCATGATGAACCATCACAATTTGATGATGGACTCCTTGGAGAAGAATTAATGCCTAAAGAAGAAGTAAGGGTAGTTGGGGGAATAGTCGAGGTGCATACAAGCTGGTTTGAACACTCCTAGTAACCAAAAAAAAAAGTAGGGGTGAGCGGTTTTGGGTACCCTACGATTGGGGGAACCGGAACTGAAACCGGTCGGTTCCTAGGAAAGGAAACCGGAACCAGTGATTTCTGGAACCGAAACCTGAAATGCAGATTCCAATTCTTTACTTGGGTACCCTATAAAATATCAATTACCCTTCTATTAGTTTAAAAATGACCAAAAAAAACCATTAAAAGTTTACAAATACACCCCTAAAAAATTTAGGAAACCTGCATTTAGTGGTTTTCAACTTTTGATTAATCATTCATTTGTGTCCAATGTGACTCACAGATCCTCTAATCTCTAAGAAACTCTTAAATTCAATCAATTCATGACAATTAAATTACTAATGTTTAATTATTTATAATGTAATGTTATAATTAATTAAGTAATTATTTAACTATAATGTAATGTAATAGTTAATTAAGTAATCATACTATATAATATTATAATTAGTAATTTTTATAATGTGTTGTGTGTGATTTTTCCATTAAGTTTGGAAAAGTCGGAATTTCGTGAGGTTATAGTTTGACCTAAAATCAATTCGACTCAACACAAGTCCGACCCAGCATAAGCTCATCGAGATATAACTCGACCCAACACAAGCTAGTCGTGACCAATCTCAATAGTTGTTCAAGCAAGTCACAGATAAGCTTAGATCCCAGATATTTCGGAAGAGATCTTATCAATATAAATAATAGTGCGATCTTAGCGCTTAATCAGAAAGATATCGGAATTGCATTTCAATCTTAGTTGTAATTCCTTTAATTTTGCTATTTCCTTCATAAAAAACTTGTATGTAAACTCTTTCCAACTATGGAAAAAGGGTTAGCAAATTGTTTTAGGAATTATATTATTTTCTTGTAAGCTCTCAAAACGAATAAGAAAAACAGTGGACGTAGGCTCAAGATTACAACTTGCCAAACCACTTTAAAAATCTTTTGTCCTTTGTATTACTATTTTTACATTCAATACATTACTGATTATTCGTAATCATGCCCACATCGGTTCCGATTCCGTCAAGGTCAATCAGATCGCTCTAGTTTGTGTATTTTTCACATTAACATAATGTAATGTAACTAATGTTATAATTAATTAAGTAATAATTTAATTATAATGTAATGTTATAGTTAATTAAGTAATCATACTATAAATATATAAAGTAATGTTATAATTAATTAAATTTCTAATCATTTAATTAAGTAATGTACTAATATAGTAAATTACTATTGTTTATGATATAATGTTATAATTAATTAAGTAACCATTTAACTATAATGTAATGTAATAGTTAATTAAGCATACTATATAATACTATAATTACTAATGTTTATAATGTAACATAACTAATGTTATAATTAATTAAGTAATCATTTAACTATTATGTAATATGATAATTAATTAAGTAATCATACTATATAATATTGTAATTACTAATGTTTATAATGTAATGTAACTAATGTTATAATTAATTAAATAATAATTTAACTATAATATAGTGTTATAGTTAATCAAGTAATCATACTATAAATCTATAATGTTATAATTAATTAAATTTCTAATAATTTAATTAATTAATGTACTAATGTAGTAAATTATTAATGTTTATAATATAATATAATAATTAATTAAGTAATTATACTACTATAAATCTATAATGTAATGTTATAATTAATTAAATTTCTAATCATATAATGAACTAATGAACTAATATCGTAAATTACTAATGTTTATAATGTAATATTATAATTAATTAAGTAATCATACTATAATGTGACAGATACAAAATTTAATCCTTTGCAAGTGCACAAGTTGCAATCGCAGTATAGTGCATGAGTAAGGGTCGATCCCACTGAGACTAGAGGTGCTCTCGCAATCCTAGAAACTATGCCTTGATGAAAGTAATAAGAATTGAAATAAAGAAAACATTTAAATGACATTAAAGTAAATCTAAATCCAACCATATACAAAGAATACTAGGGCTCTAACTCCATCATAATCATCAGGCTACGTGTTCACCATCAAACTATCATTCTCCCCACTCCATTCTAGGGTTCGTACATTATCAGGTTCAACCTAGTACTTTCATCATCTAAATAGCTAGTGGCGTATAGCCTAGTCTAAACAACAAAGGAATCAATTTGCATAGACACAAATCATCCACTTCAAAAGCTAATCAAGATAGGCACGACGTCTCTCGTTTCTAAGGTATTACTGTGGCCATTCGGAATAACCTAGTGTTTCCATCAACTAAACTAGCTAGTGGCGTATAACCTAGTCTAGTAATGAAAACTCATTGAGCACAAGACGGTCTTAAAGACAATAACCAATCTATACCCGTGCAGGGCTACAAATTAATCATTCCACACACAATCTTGTCTCATACAATCAATCAACTAACATCAAGGTTGATTAGGCCCTAATATCAACTAAAGATTGAATTAAATGCAATGAATGAATCTAGAACATAACAGAATAGATCAAACAAATAGAATAAAAATAAAACACAAGCCTTCAATTAGTTACATCAAATCCCTAGAAAACAAACTACAACATAAAAGGAAAGAAACAACAAGCATGAATAATCAATTCTTTTGCAGCTGAATACTTGAAAACACACACAACACCCGTGATTCTGGAAGATAACAAAACAGGCAAGAAATTACATCATAAATCATGCATTAAACCTTAAATTCCTTATAGTTTCACCCCCAAATCACTAAATAAATTTGCATTTCCAACACTCAGCATAATGTAATGTTATAATTAATCAAGTAATCATTTAACTAGTAATGTACTAATGTTTATTAGTTTATGATAGATAATTAATTAATTACTAATTTACTATAGATATACTTAAAACTTAATAATTAAAGTAAATAACTAAATATTATTCAATCAAAATATCAAATATACTATTTAATTCAAAAATAATTCTTTTAATTGGATTCTAATTCCAATTATACACTTAATTGATCAAAACTTTAATATTATAATATATTAAAGTTTTTTATATGTAAAAAATTTCATATTATATATATATATATATATATTAAAGTTTTTAATATGGTGAAGTATATATGTACATATATTTGTTAAAATTTTTTATATAACATTAAAAGTTTAAAACACTGTCAATCCCATTTTAATTCTTTTTTTATGTAAAATTACATTAGACCTCCCATTCTTTACTGATATTCGTTTCAATCCAAGTTCCAAAGGCAGGTTCCATCCTGGGTACCCACCACAAGTTCCCATCCAATGTTTCGGTTTTGATTTTGGTTCCTACACATGTAGGAATCGGAACTGGACCCACACAATGTCGATTCCAAAAAATTGGAACAATTCCTACCTACACAGTGTCGATTCTGGTTCCGGTTCTATTCGCCGATTCCGGTTCTACCCGCTATCTATGCTCACCCCTGAAGAAGATTGCTTTGAAGTAAGCATGGATGGCTACGGAACAAATTCTTTTGCCATTAATATTTGTGAAGATGTGCATGATCACAGCTACAAGACAAGGATGAAGGAAATTTTTCTTTGTGACTTTATTTTAAACATTTGGAGTGATTGGATGGATGTTATGACGAAGATTGGGAAATTTAAATTCCTTCAAGCATATCACTTGAAGAAAAAATCTAGAAGAGTTTTGATTAATGCAAGTTAAAGATGGAGTTGTTCTAGACAAAAAATCAAGGGCGAATTTCCTTCATCTTGGGAGGAATGATGCAGAGCATATATTATTAAAATTCTTTATGAAATAAAATTATATTATTTCCTTGTATTTACGCTTTCCTATTCCTAAATTCTTATTTTATTTTAGTAGTTCTAATTAAATTAGATTTGTTGTTTTAGATATTTTCCATACAAAATAAGATTTGTTTAATTATTTGGTTTATTGTTTTCCTAACTAGTTAAGGTTAATTATAGTATAAATAAAGGTCTTTATAGCCTTTAAGGCATAAGTCTTTGGTTGAATTAAATATTTGGTTTAACTTATGGTTGAGTTGTTTCTTATGAATTCTTGGTATTCTTGGTGAATCATCGAGTCTTTATTGTTTGATTTTCGACATTCATGGTGAATCAACGAAAATCTTACTTACCCTTCTTTAATTTCGGGTATTCTCAAAATCAACGAAGTTGAGGTCTTTTATCTTTATTTTTTTTTTTCATTGCCCTAGATTGTTGCTCTACCGTTGTGTACAAAGCAATGAGCCAATGACTATTGATCGCGCACAACAATTGCAGTTGTTGTTGTGTGTCCACAGCTTGTTGGTGGTAGTAGGGTTGTGCCAAAAAAAACCCGTTACCGGAACCAAACTTAATTTTTTGGATACCTCAAAATTCGGGTCAGTTTCGGTAGTTATTATGCTATACCCAAATTTTTGGTTCAAGTATCGAGTATATATTTTAAAAGAATTGGGTATTCATTTCAAGAGGCAAAAGCCCCAAATTATTTTTGCCCTAAAAGTCTAAACCATAAATTTCTCTCCAATTCT